TTTGGGAAGCAAAACCACTTGACAAAAGCAGGGAGGGTTTTTTTTTTTTCTTTCCTTTGGACCTCTGCCAGCTCATTACTGTTAAACAACAGAATAAAGGCTCTCTGGAAAGGCTGTTTGACCTCCAATGAAGCTAGAAGTGAGATTGCCAATATACAGCCGAGTCTTCACTCCTAAGGGATACTGCAACGAAACCTAGACCTAATACCTTGGATGCTGAAAAATAAAATAAAAGCAGTAAAAAGCAAACAGAGTGCCAAGGTTGCAACCATCGCAGAGGGTGTGTCATGAACACAAGTTTTCTCCTTATTTTGATACCATAGTATCGGAAAGCAAACAGAGGCTGTAGGAGACTACAGTCAGCTGCGCAGAGCCTCTGAGGCTTCCACTGCACAGCCAGGACATACTGACACTGCCAGGAAACTTGCACACTGCCACACCACTGCTAGAAGAGCCACTGTGCTCGGGGTCACCACCCCAGGCCACCTGCAACAGAGCCACAGAAAAGGGATCAACTGGTGCTGCTGAGCTGCACATCCGATAGTCACCATTTCCAGAGCCGCTCCAATAAGGGTAAAACAAGAAACATAATCAGCTCTGTATGGTGCTCAAGAACTTCACAGCTAAGAGCAGCTGCACACACACATGTTAAGGCTTTAGAAACAAAGGCAAGAGATGGATGTTTTGCAAATGAAGGGACAGATGGGTGTGCAGTCAGCTTCAGAGTAATGTTAAGAACTGCAACATAAGTAAGAGCCAGAAATTAGAGGGCAAATGCTGGACTCCTAAAAGTAAGAACTAGTGGAATAATTGCAGTATACGGCTCCATCCTGGCATATGTGCCTGCTGAGATTCACGTGAGGCACAGAGCAGGTTCTGTGATGCTTGTTACCACTGCCAGAAATGCTGGGTACATCTCATGCTCCCTTAGAGCCACTAAGAACACACAAAGAGCAGATCAGTCAGGGGTCAGCACCCTGGGAGTTCATACCCAGCATCTCTCTGAGCTGCAATCCCAAAGCCAAAAGATGTCACTCAAATTCTGATGTGCATGAGATCCTCTGCCACCATTTGTCTCCGGCTTATGAGTTTCTCCACCCTTCTGCCAAAAAAGGGGGCACCTAGAGCCTCATCTTCTGCCTGAAGTTCTTTCCCAACCTCAGCCTCCAGCCTGGACCTTTCTTGCACTGCAGACAGTCTAGAGAGTCAAACCAAGACACAGATGACTTCAAGTACCATAGAGAGACTGTTGTGTTACAACTTCCTCCCTAATAAAAGAGTCTGGCTGTTGTTTTACTTGGAAGGGATGCCTAGAGGTCTCTGGTCCATCCCCTCACTCAAAGCAGGTATCTGATCAGGCATCTGTGTCTTGTCAAGGGTTGAGTAGCTCCCAAAATGGAGATCCCACAAGCTCTTCAGACCCCCGTCCCATGGCTTAACCATCCTCATGTGGGAGGGGAAAAAAAAAAAAAAAAAAAGAGAAAAAAATCCCCATCTGAATTCCTTAGATAAACTCCTTACTACATTTGCCTTTTCTGAACACCACTTCAAGACAAAGGGGCCAGGCACCACAGCACTAGAAACTAACCCTAGGCCCAGAGGAAGGGAATGCATTACATGCCTTCTTTCAGCAGGGTCCCACGGGGACAGGGTCTCTCTGTCCCAGAGCAAGAGAGGCAATGCAATCCACCTCCAGCAGCAGAGCAGGGAGTGGAGGCAAGAAGCTGTCTCACCCACATTCTCCCATGACCAAAACACAGGACTTTCCTCGGCATCCAGGCACCCCCTTCACATGGTTTTAAAGCCAACCTCCAAGGCCAGAAAGGCTTCACCCAACAAGCTTCCCCAAGCTTTACAGTCATGTGTAACTCAGTACAAGTTGACTGTGCTGTTGGAAACAGCCCAGCCCTCCCTATCCCCTGGACAGGGACAAAGGCCAGGATTGCTTCTTTCAGCAGCAGCTGACACATGCCACCTCTAAGCTGAGCGTGAAGCTCCAGGGGTTTTTCTAGGTACCGGAAGGCCTGTGTTGGGAAAGTCTGTGCTAACCAGCAGGCTGCAAGAGCCCCAGGGGCTTTTAACTAGGACTAAGGAAGTAGATTTGCAGCTAAAGTGGAAGG